TTCATAATTTTGCAAATCAAATCAAGTGGTGACCGAGAGTCTCCTCTCGAGTGCAAAGGGTTAATATTGTTCTTTGGTAAGGTTCTCCGAAATGAATGGTCTCAGGAATAACTCATCAACCGGCGTTACAGGTGTTACGTCGCTCTGTTTACTCGTGTTATTAAATATTTTTATTAAGAAGATTACGCTGCGAACACGTTCCCACGCGGTAGCTGGAACATTTCTGTTATTCCCTCCTCTTTTTTCGCTTTTTTCCAGCTTGTACGTCACCGCGACAGCGCGCTTTTCTTTTCCACGAGAGAGCCGTGCCACCTAACTCCGGCGATTTTCCATTGTGCCGCGAAAACGCGTCGCCTAATGTCTCCTCGGAGCCGCTCGAGAAATGGAACGATTCTCGGCTGAACCGGGAATTCCTCCTCCCGTCGCGCCGCTTCGCCCGGTTGCTAAGGGAAATTTCTTTGAGAGTTTGGTCGATAGGCGACTCTTTTTCCCGTGCCGGCTGATTGGCAGGATGTTTCATGATTCATGCGCCTCGTTTCTTCCGTGGAAGATGTGCCGCGTCTGGGGACACAAGGGAGGCGTGTCTGATCGTAGTCGGGCAAATCTACTTAACCGTGAAACACGGTCGACTGGTGAGTCAATCCGTTTTTTCGCCGGCCTGGAACTGTGTAGGCCGTGATTCCAGGTTTTTCGACTCGCTCCCCGAAGATGAATCTGTTCGTCATTGGTGTCCATTTATAGTCCTCGACTCTTTCTTCAGTCGCCTATTCACCGAGTAATTCCCCTATCTTCTCGTCTATGAACAATTCATTTACATTTCACACCGTACGTTGCTCCGTTCAGGACTCGAATTCCCTAAGAATCGATACGACATTCCGATACATCTGTTATTCCACGCCGAAGGAAGGCGAACTCCGCTGCCGACTGTCTTTGATTAAACATACAGAACCCTCTCCTCGCCGCGCGGGTCCGCGCAGATAACACGGTGATTCAGTTTTCCTGCGAAGCCGAGCTCGAGCCGCGAGGGATTCCTTTCCCGATTCGAAGCCCGCGCCGTAAATAGGCAGCGAGCACGGGGCTTCGGCCGATCCCACGGCGCGTTGTATCCTAATAAAGCCACGCTTTCGTATCCGCCTACGCGTCACGATTAACAATTAACGGTCGCATGACGAATGCCAACGCGGCGATGAAAGCGCGTGCATCCCGGGGAACGCACGTGCAGCCCGTCGAGGCCCAATTATTCCGAGTAACGGGCGACCTAGGAACGTGCGACACGCGCATTTCAAAAGAAATCGTGACCATCCGAGCGTCTCCTTCCTCGCCACCCACGGGACAACCTTCTCGGAGCCTTGGACTAGTCCCCCGACGTCGGAATCGATTCCAACGACACCGGCGATTTCCCCGGATGATTAATCCACGGCGAGTCCAGTACGCTCCGGCGTCCAGAAACCGAATTTCCACGGCGAAACCGAGAGTCTTCTCGAGACCTGCCGTCTGCGAACTCGCGAAACAATGCGAAAGTAATTAGTCGCTCGGGGATTGCCGTCGAGACACCGGCAACCCTTCCCGAAGGGGACAGTTTACGGGGAAGTCGGTTCCGGCTAGACGACCCGACGCCGCGGACGGCGTATTCATTGAAACTTTCAATTTATCGGTTCGCGCCTCGCCGAGAGCGACTCCTGTTTCACGCGGCTCCTTAAACGGAGAAAACTTTCCGCTGGAAACTTCTTTCCGCGGCTAGAAGCCGCCGCTGGATTAATAACGTTCTGAACGCTTTATGCAGTTCCGGGGGAGCGAGTACTAATTAAGGGGGGCACCAGAGACGTTCTAAATATAGGTAAACTTTGGCAAGTTTTTTGCTTGTAACACCCGGGTGTACACCTGGAAAACATCAGTTTTCGCTGAAGAGTTATGAACGAGACTTCCTATAGCTTTCTCTTGATTAAGCATTTTGATGTGTTCTTAATCGACGCTAGATTTGCATTTATTCTGTAGTTTATTCTATTATTCCTAGAAGAATTGATCTTAATTTTCTAAAGATAGACCGGTATACATTCGTGTGATGGCATCGATGATCAGCGTGAACGTTCGCTGAACAATATTCGTGAAAATTCAAATTGACGCGTTCCGCGGAGCAAATGTTGCGTCGTCGGTTCAGCGGTGGCATGGCCGGCCGTTTCCAGTGCCGCGGGTTATATCGAAACCGGTAGAAAGTGCGGTATTAATCTCGGCGCGAGAAGAAAAAGGAAAAGGGAGGAAGGCATTTCGTAACTCGAACAAGGCAAAAAGCGGCGGAAAAAAGGATGGATAAAGATTCGTAACGAACGGCGCGCAGTGTCGGGCACCGCGGAACTGGAAAAAGCGCAACGACCGCGACCGCTTCTCTCTCTCTCTCTGTTCCTCGTCCCCGCCGTTTCTTTCTCCCGCCGATCGGGGATTATCTCGAGAGTCGAGTTAATCGCCGTTCGGCTCGGTGATTTAGAGCCACGGCGGAGCATCGATAGTGCAGCGAACCCGATCTTCTACGCACACTTCCGCCGGAAGCTGCCACCCTGAAAATTATTCGAGCGTGTCCGATCGGTTGCGTGATCGCGACGCGTCGCGTCCGTTCCATCGACCCGATTGATGTTCCTCCATTCACGATCTCTCCATCATCTGTCCCGCTCCTTCCAGCGCGAGTTTTATAAACGCCACTCTAGGATATATACCCGTTTCCCCAGTGAAATTAATCGCTCGCTATCGATCCAATACTTAACTCCAGACGGCGAGATAAACATTGACTCCGTACCTTTGACATTATCGTTCGGTTCGATTCATAACGTATCATTTCCGACGATTTTTCTCTCCCCGGCTCGCCGAGGCGAACAATTTCCAACGAACAATCTGCCGGTCGCCGGTGTCTTTTTGCCAGGTCCGAGACCATTACTCGGCCAATCTGCAGGGCAGATCGGCGGCGGATGACGTTGATAGATCGAGAACACCGTCGACTCATTACGCTGAATATTCATCAGGACGAAACCTCTTTGCTCAATGAATTTAAATCGTCTGGACGCGGGAAAAGGGAGGACCAGGGGCGAGGAGGAGGAGGAGGTCCCGTGAGTTCGGAATGATCCGCGGTAGATCGGGAATACCGATCTTGACCCGTTCGACGAAAGATGCTTCCGTGCTTTTAGCCGATCCCCCTCTCGACCCTGTTTCCCTTTCCCGCCAGCCCGCGGTCTGGCCACGTTACCGCGTCCGTTCGATGATCGATATTCGGTTCACGTGCCAGCGCAAACAGAAATCCAATCCGATCGCGCCTGCATCGAATCTTGCCCTCGGCTGACCCAGATTATTATCTCCGTCGACGCTCCTATTTTTATTCGGTCGACCGTGCTCGGTGTTTGGCACTGAACTTGTGCGCCGTTTTAATTAAACACCGATCGCCCCGCGCCCCTCCGGCCCCGATCGAACGGCTAGAGAATCGCCGGGACACATAATCGAGCCGAAATCACGAATTACAGTCGTGATCGGCGGACCCGTGACCCTGTTTCCTTTGCCGCTGTCCGAAATCTCGGGAATAACGGCCGGCGATCGTGAAAACGATTGCGCGTCGTCGGAGTTGAACGTCGCTTTAACGTCCACCGGTGAGTTTCGTCGGTTTTACGATCGGTAGTCGGACTTTATAGGTTGATGGGTTTTACGAGGAGTTATGGTCGACGCTGTTCCACCGGAAGATTGAGTTTTCACGCGTGCGGGGCTCGTCCTCTTTGGACCGGGCACAAATATCTGTCCTCCGGTCGAACGGGGGACTTCTTCTCCTTTGTCTCGGCTCCGGCGTTCTCGGTTGCTCGCGGGGTAGCGAACGGAACAATGGTTCTCCGCGAATGGTCCGGCAGTTTCACGGTGTCGGGAACCGGAAGCAAAGGGCACCGCTTTTAAGAAAGAGGCGGCGCGGGAGTAGCAGCGATTCGAGGGAAACGCGGTTCAGCGGGTATTCCGAGTGGATAGCCTCAATTTTCCTCTTTCTTTGGGACGCGGAAGGCGACAACCAGTCCCTCGGATCGCTCGAGAGAACCTTCCGGTACCGGGGAGGGACTCGCAGTCGTGGCTGGGAACCGAGCCTCAAAAGACCCGTCGAATCTTCCGCGGAACGGTTGCATTCGACGGCGAGATTCCGTTCGGCTTGAAAGATTCAAACGCAACGGTGAAATAATAATTAAGCGCCGACTCGCGGGGGATTCAACGACCGACGGAGGGGCAGGGCGCGGCTGAATGTTTCATGCCGCGGGGAGATGCACCGCGCGCGGTCGATCGCGGCGTAGAAAATGCGAAAACACCGGCGTCGGAGCCGGTAAAAATAGACGGGCCGATATCGATGATAATCCGGGTCAGCCGGGGAACGAGATTGATCGGTGGAAGGCACGCTCGCGTCGAAATTCAACGCACAGATGGACGCCGTTAGCTTGCAGGTCGGACTGGCGGGGGTGGGCTACCACGAAAACCGCGCTCCATTCGATGGAAATCGCGTGACAGCTCCTGCGAATTCACCGCCGCGGCCGGGAGACACCCACGCGCTCGTTAATCTTCCGTTCGCCCGTCAGCTTGTCGCAGGATGCTTCGCGCGAATTTTATTAGCGGGGAACGGCAACGTTGATCTCTTCATCGACTCGGGGATACGGACGGGGGTGTGCGCGCGACAGCTCGTTCCGAAGTTCCGCTAGTCGCCTCGAAGGCAGCGACTTCTGTAATCGATCCATTGCTGCTTCGTTCCTGCTGCTCGATATCGTTGCTCAGTACTCTCGAATGAAACGTAGAATTACCGTCGAGCAAATAAATACAGGAACCCAACCAGGAACGAGCAGCGCGTTGCGTTAACGCTAGAACTACCAAACAATCAGATTCCCTAATTGTTCCGTTCTAACTCCGCCCGTTCTCAATAATTCACGAACTTAGGAATAGCTGATTTGGTAGTTCTACTGTTAACCGTCGGTGAAGTGAAACGAGGGAAATCCGTTTAGAAAATTGGCGGGTGCACGCGGAAGGAAATCAGCCCCAAATGCGCGACTGGGGAGGGGAAGAGGTGCAGCAAGAAGCCGCCCGGAACAGCCGCCATAGTGGAACGTTGACCTAGTGAGTGAGAGCGCGTTCGGCCCGAGGAGCGGTCCGCCGATTCGACGGAAGTGCGTGGTGAATCGCGGCCGGGGAAAAATGCGAAACGGCGGTCAGCCGCAGCAGACGGCGGTAATGGCGCCGCCGCACCTAAACGGGTCCGCGCAATTCGTTTCCGGCGGTTACGTCGGCTACGTGCCGCGCCAGCCCTGGGGGCAATTTCAAGGGGCGCAGCATCCCAGGAACACGGCCAGGCCTCTGTCGCATCCACCGCCGCCACCCTCCAGGAGGGAAAGCCAAAGACCACCTCCTCCCTCCGGGAACGGTTCCGCCAACCCTAAGTGCACGTCCCTTCCGCACACCAGAACTGGGACTAACAGGAGCACCACCCCCTCGGTGAGTTTGCCGCGAGCCACCTACCCCTTTCCGATCGCTCCGCGCGATTTTTTCGTCCTCCCCTCTAACTTCTTTCCCGAGGAGTTAGAGGTACACAGGCAGGTGCTAATGACACTGTCAGCCATCGCGATAGCCATGACAGACGTCCTCTTCACCGCGAGCATTGAAACGTCGGATCAGCGGATGGATATCGTGATCGACAGCGATTGTCGTGTATCTTTCGTTTGAGGGACAGGTTGCAATAACAGTGACAATGCTAACGGCACTCGATTACATCAGACGTGTCGGATTAGCACCATCTAAACCTTTAAGAAGATTAGGGGACTCGGAGAAGTTGGAAACATCGCGGTGTGGGCTGAAACATGGCTGATTATTCTTTGAGTCCTGAGGTCGGCCCCTCTTTTTCCTGGAATCCTACACGTGTATGACAAATGGAGGAGATTCAGCGTTACTGGTGTTCCAGCACCTACCCCTGTTCAGTCTTATGAGGATTTATGAGAGAGACTTCGGCCTGCGTTCTCGAAAGAGGGTGCGTGAGACTAAACAGAGCTGCCTGTAGCCGGTGAGCACGGTGACTCAGACGACTCACGATTGCGGCGGCGAGTGTCTATTTAAAGAGGATTCAAAGTTAGAAACGGCGAATAGCTTCTATTGCGTTTCTTTGGGAATCGGTTACAATGAATCGGAACGGACGGAGGGAGCAGAAGCCAGCCAGTTTCTGCAGTAATTCCTAACGCGTCCTTTCGAGAGACCCTCGGGGATCGAGCCGAGAAGTTCTTCCCGAGAAAGGGATTGATCACACGAGATTTATTGGACTCCGATTGGACCTTAGAACGTCCGCTTTTAAGTGGAGTCCCTCGGGCGACTCGGAGCTGCAGCGGAGCCATTATATATCGAGTGGCCCGCGCGCGCGTTGGTGGTCTCTAAAAGAGCGCGATTAAAAGTTAATCCATCATCCTCGGGACTCTCCGCCGGACTAGTTTCGGCTACCGAGAGTCAATTGGTCGCGGCCGGGAAAAAGTGAAGGAGGATAAGCGGCGGAGAAAGAGAAAGGCGAGGGAACAGAATCCTCTTATGCGTCGCGGGTATCTAGAAAAGCACGTCGTAGAATACCATATGAGGCTTAAAGTCGACCGTGAAGGAATGCCACCAAATCTACACGGTGTCCCGCGCGTATTTTTCAGTCCCTTCGCGTTGCTCCCGAGAATGCCCGTGATTTATCCGGTTTCTTCGCATTTCTCAACGAGATACTATCTTCAGCTTAACAGCTCCGCGGCTTGAAGGTTACTTCTCGAATCGATAATCCCCTGTAAAAAGAGTTCTTCCATACTGTGTTAGCAACAAAGTTCTTTCTCACTTAGTAGACTGCATAATATTATCGTATAATTAATTAACTTTGATTCCACTCGGTGAATCAGTTTTCCATTTTTCTGTAGAGTTATTATTTTATAGCAAAGGGAAGCAGGAAGAATTATTAATTTTTTGGCGTTACAAGCGTTGCATTATACCACTGTCAACTTAGTTACGCTATTGACACATTGAATGCCGCATTTCATGGTACATACTTGAAATGGAAAAAATATAATATTAAATCATTTGATTGAATTGCATCGTTATTATTGCAAGTTCATCTAGCTGAATGTTAGCACATTAGTTAGCATTATTTATAATATAGAAATGTTTTCAGATAATCATGGTTTTGGCTGGGGATCACCGGTGATCCCCAAGGCATACAACGTGTTAACTATTTTCATTCGACATCGGTTATCGTATATGTTACGATTGTTCTCAAGTCATCGTAAACGTCGTGTTAATGAACTCTGCTTTCAAGGATCACGCAGTGCTGCTGCGTTTGAAAATGTACATTTTTCTAAAGGACTCAAGTAGGCGGGATGCATGGAAATTTGTTGATATATACTTTCGAAGAAAAGGATCGTGTTTCTATCTCGTGACAAGAATCCGAAGAGGCAACGAGGTATCGTCCGCCTTTTTGGAACAACTCGAGCCTTCTTGCCAAGCAGCACCGGCTCGGTTCGTACTGTTTAAGCAGGCTCGGCTTGAAGCCTTGAGATTGACATCGACACGGACTCACGCACGCCGCGAGACGCGGTGAGAATGCGATAGGGTCCGGCACTCCGGGCTGGGAGGGACCAGTTTTCACCGTGAAGCTCCGCTCAACCCTAACCTCAGAGTCCCGTAGGCAACCGGAGACGCGACGAGATGCTAGAAAGTGGTCTCGGTGTCGCGTTTCGAGCAATTCGATCGAACACCTCGAAGACCCGACCTGCCGGGGACCGAGAAATAGAAGAGAAAGACACGGGGAGTAGTTTGCGGTCGAGCGAGAAACGATACCTCGCCCCTGCAATCTTCTCTGCTACCTTTAAATGCGATTTCAAAGTGCACGGTTTCTACTTTTTTTTAATAAATCAATGTTACCTCCATTATTTCAAAACCAAGCATAATGTATACAATAGTACACATAATGTGTACAAGAGTATCTTACAATCTATCATCGGGTCATTAGAATATTGAATATATGATGAGAAAGTAGTGTCTGGCGAAAACTGTCGGTATCTACTGTGGATATCTGAAGGTATTTAAATGCGATTTCAAAGTGCACGGTATTAATTTTTTTTACTGAAATCAATGTTACCTCGATTATTTCAAAACCAAAAATAATGTATATAATAGTGCACATAGTACATCATTAGAATATTCAATATATGATGAGAAAGTAGAGTCTGACGAAAACTGTCGGCATCTACTGTGCACATCTGAAGGTATTTAAATGCGATTTCAAAGTGCACGGTTCCAATTTTTTCAGTAAAATCAATGTTACCTCGATTATTTCAAAATCAAGAATAATATATATAATAGTACACATACTATATACAAAAATATCTTATAATCTATCATCGGATCGTTGGAATATTGAATATATCATTAGAAAGTAGTGTCTGGCGAAAACTGTCGGCATCTACTGTGAACATCCAAAGGTATTCAAATGCGATTTCAAAGTGCACGATTTCAATTTTTTCACTGAAATCAATGTTACCTCTATTATTTCAAAACCAATAACAATGTATCTACCGTGGACACCTAAAGCCATCACTGAAGAATATTTTCCAACTGTGTCAACTTCAAAGTTGCGCATAGCGTCCATTTTGTTCCCCGGCGATCCGCAGCGGAGAGTTGAAAAAAGGCGGGCACCTCGAATCCACGGATTAACTGACAAACCCCGTGAGCAATCGAGGAGAGAAATTCGCTCGGGGCCAGAGGTTTCCGTCGCGAGTCGATCGATTAAAGTCACGACCGGTGGACGGCAATTATGCTGGCCGGGCATCTTTTTCAAGCGTTCTGCAGCGCGTAATTGGAAAGCTAGCTTCGACAAAGAGAAGACGTCGACAAAAGAACGTCTTATAGAGATTATCCCGGTGCAGCAAGGAAATACCGGTGTAACAGGATTCTCGAGGACCGTAAGATCTCTCGAGGAGGCCGTGTGTGTGCACGTGTGAGCGCGAGCGCACTTTTTTTCCTTTCCTCTTTCGTACAAGATCGACCGAGGCCAGTGCAAGGTCGACTCTCGACGTGGCTGGCTCACTCGTTCGCTCGCTCGCTCGCACGCACGCACGCCGCGTGCCCAAAAAGATTATTTTTTCGACGACGACGAAAGTACAGCGGCGTGAAGGGTCCTCGGAGAAATTCCAATACTCCACGCGTTCAAAATAAACGGTCTTAAACTACCACTCCCTTGGGCTCCGCTAATTATAAACCCTCCGAGCCCCGGAGACTTCCGAAGATGAGCGCCGGAGTAAATAGAGGGTAAATCCTGATGGTTAACCGTGCTGATATTAAAAGTTTCAAGCGTTTTATTCTTCGATCAATCGATTATTCTTCCTCTCGATGTCTCTCGCAGCGTGTTGTACTCGGGAGATCTTAATTATCCTTTAATCAAGACTACGTAAGTGGTCAAACTTACTTGTTCACAATTCCTCTTTTCCTAATGACCTTAAATAAACGACTAGAGTAATACATAAACTAATACATACACGAATGAGAGTCTTGCACTTCCATGGTTTCCACGAGAAGAGACAAGCTAACACGGCTGCTCGGTGGTTCCAGCGTTAAGGTGTTTCCTTCAGCGAAACACTGGTAGTTAACGATCTTAACAGTTGTTAACGAGTTCATAGAACTCGCCGAGCGGAAAGATTTACAAGCGGACCGCGTACCTCTCCGAAGGTGCAGTTCCAGTGTCGAAGACGAAGTCGCGTACCGCATTCTGCGCGCGATTGACCATAATCTATCGTACGCCGGCATACATAAGCGCGGAGTAAGTGAGTTTCCCGGGAATGGTATCGGTCTTAGCGAGCCCGCGGGCTCGTGCGTTGCATCGACAAACGCCGGCGAACACGTGTTCCGTTAGATCGTGGCTGGTGTTCCAACAAACGGCGACGAACGATCGGCGGCAGCGGTTCTGACGCCCGCCGCCTGCTCTTTTCCCTAGATATTAACGTTTTCCGGATAACTGTTCGCCGACGCGGACCAGACCCGTTCGAATACGAATGGGACGCGATAAAGTATCGGACGAGGAACGAGTTTCCCCGGCGATTCCTCGAAACGGGGCATCGATTTATGAGCGATAACCACCTTAATGGAACGTGGAATCTCTTACAGATTAAACGAGAAGCAATCCCTGTTCGCGTCTCTGTTCCGTCGGGCCTTTAGGTCACTAACCGTTCACCCGTGGCACAACAATCGCAGATGGTGGATGCACTCGAGAGAACACGAAAACCCCGCCGCTTTATTAGACGTGCGTCGAGTCCCGAAGTCTCGCGGTGATTTCCCACGACCCGGAAAAATAGTCGTTCGACCTCGGTCGCGGATGAATATTCAAGATCTAGCCGCGGTGAATTCCGCGGACGACGTCGGAGGAGGGAAGCCTGGCTCGACAGTGAAATTAAAACGCGGAAAATATATCTACGTCAAGGTTTAATGGCTTT